GAGTAGCTATAATCTTGATCGCTTGTCAGCCTCCGACCGCACTCAACGTATATATAGTCAGTCTCTAGACGTAAGCTCGCTTCATTGATTCACCATCCTCTGAGGTGGACAGATGTATTTTGGGAGAGGTGCGATTTCATTATGTGTTTAGTCATTTTCATGTATTTGTGTTGGCTTAATTTATTTGGAAACATTTGTTTTGTTTAAAATTTCAGAGTTTTTCACCTCAATCTATAATCCAATGTAGGTTATAAGTTGACATAAGCCCTATATCCAAGTCAGTGCTTCACCGAGCCAATGGATGTATATGAAACATTTTCTTTTCACGTGTGTTCATCAATTAATTTCTTTTAATGTGTGGATTCCGATTCAGAAGTTCCTCGCAGGCAGACAGACGTGTATCATGTCAGGTATGTGCAAGAGGCGCCAAGTAGTGTCATATATCTTGTTATTGTGTTCGTTAGACGTTTAATTAATAGGAACATTTTTTGATTCGTTAATTAATTTCATACTGGAGACTCACATAATTGTGATCGTTTAGCACTTGTCGACACCATATGTTATTCACCTAGTTGTGTTCGTTCGTTATACTTCTCATGTAAATTTTGTTTCTAACATACAGCTCGGGGTATTAAAATCACGTTCATCTCTTTACGTTTCATTGATTTTCAGTACGTAATAATTTCATACTGGAGACTCACTTAATGCACTTGTTTCTTTATGAGACCAGGAGGTAGTTACACTTCTCTCGTGTTATTAAATCATATGTAGAACTCCTTTAAAAACTCATCATTTCTCGGAATAATACTAACATTCAAAGTCGCCTATCTACCAACACCATCTATAAGCAATATCACTACCAAACAAAAAAAAATATTATTACACCTATGCCATTCTTGCATAAAACTCACCACACACACGCACTAACACACACACACACACACACATATATATATATATATATATATATATATATATATACACACACACACACACACACACACACCGTCCCCAACACGCCGCACCTAATTCATTCATTATATTTCGCACCGAACCTCGGTGCTGGCAGGATATCCTCCCAAAGGCCTAGCCTGTCTCCCTCCTCAAGGGAGCTGGTCAGCCATCGAGGTTTTAAGGTTGTAGGCGAGTCGGCAGCGGCTCGACATCACCAACTTTGCTATGTCGGACGGCGAACGACATGTTGTCGGAGGGGAGCAGGGCCGAAAGGTAACATATGCATTGCCTGTTTCTTCATCTGATAACACGAACACATCTCGACACAGCACACAACATACGGACTATCACAAACCAAGCAAAAAACACACAGTAAAGACAGTTAAAACGACACATTAGCAAATCAGTTCCAACTAAGAATTATTTTTCTCCTTTTAGCAGTATTAGACCAATTAGACAATAGTCATAGTAGTACAGGCACAGTAGTTCCACGACAACACACACGTAAAACACCACTTGCACCACCAGTATACATTCCGGACACTTCGAGGCTAAAAAGCCTAAATATCAAATTTGGCGAAGCATTCTTTGTAAAAATAACACTCACAAAAAAGACAATATTTGAAGATAGTGGTAGCAGAAGATAAGCACAAGACAGTTTGTGACTATCTTGAGGTACACGAAATTCGTTCTACACACATTCCATTAGGACTGAAAGGCCAACGAAAATAGTAATTAAAGGATTATTACATAACACAGATACAAAAGAATTATCCAATGAACTTATGAAAAATTGAATGTCTAACAGTTTATAACATCAGCTGACTCACCGGTAGTTTATGGGCAATAGTTTTGCTTCGAGAGGAGCTACACATTTTCAAAATACACAAACTAGGTTACATGTCAGTTCGTATAGAGTTGTACAAATACCGCGCTGATGATGTGGTTCAGTGTAAGAGATGTTGTGCATTGGGCCACACACAGAAATACTGCACACTTAGGTAGCTGTGTGCTCTTTGTGGGAAAAATCACACAATGAGTACCTGCTCCTTAAGAGAACAAGACAAGTCAAAGTGGACATGTGGACTTTGTAAAAAAAACTAGACAATTGGCTGTATGGAAACATTGCGAAGTGGTCCAAAAATATACCAACACTCGCAAAAAAATGCTTGAGGCTAAAACACACAGGGAACAAGCACCAACACAACAGTGGAGCGACAATCCACAAACACCTAGGAGAAGGTACACCAACATAATAGAAATGCGACCATGATCTCAGACGTGCAAGAACTGGCCGCACTTTTGAAATAAATACCATTCGTAACACTATTGGACCATTTAAGGCCCATCATTACACAGTCGAAAGCCTTAACAACACTACACAAGAAGCAGTTGTTGCTCATCACAGCACTCGTCACCTTACCACAGTAAACAAACAATAGTTGGGGATTATTTAAATATCAAATTACCCCAAATTGACACAGCCGTCTTAAACACACAGTTATTAATATTTAGGACGCTCTGCCCAAGCTTGTGTGGAAACTCGGGAAAGGTGGGAAATAGCCCAATCACCACTCGTCTTCCAGGTCAAGTGACACACATGCCAGTCGTGGTAGGGGTCGGGGGGCTAACACTATATGACATAGTTAATTTAGACTAGCTTAAACAATTTAATCTAGCTTAGGTTTTTTCTAATATCATAATATATTAAAATTAATTGAATTTAAAAAATTAAAGTAAAATTTAAAAAATAATATTTTTTTAATATGAAAAATCTTTAAAATATAAAAAAAAATACAAAAACACTTTAAAAATTAAATAATTAAAACATATAGTGTTTTATATGTTACAAACACCATTATTTACTTACAATAACGCACCGACCTGATAGTCTGTTTCAGGTCGGGAAGAAGACGATCCTCGTCGAAGATATGATGAAGGAGGGGGGGGAGGGCTCCTCTTTGACTACGGCCTGGCAGACTCTGGTCCCAAGGGTCCCTCCTATAGTTTCTGTTACTAACACTGGATTTCTTTCCCATGTCACAACACTCTGAAATGATAAAACCTACCCCGAGGGTAGTTCCCAGGCGATTAGGGACTCACCGAGACACTACACCCGAGATTAAAAAGCACACTTGTATACAACATAACACGGTGCCCTAGACTTACACTGACACGGCCCTCGCCCGCGGACCCTATGATTAGTCCAAGTGTCGGGTGGCAATTGTTTATACAAACACCCAGTGAGTTATGGGAGCTGCAGCTCCCTGTCTCATTACACACGTGTCATTCCGGTGGTATATGAGGGTCGGCGGCGGCCGCGCCTCATCGAGTGCCAGAGCTCCAAGGGTGAGGGCGTACCACATCTGCTGCTCCCCCAAAAGGAAAGAAAGAAACTAGTAAATTTGACTCTTAGTACACTCTTGCACCAAACACACACAAAAAATTAACCCTTTCAATAAATTTAACGCTTTATGTAAGTTTAACCCTTTCGATTTGGTTGACCATTTCAATCAATTTGATTAACCCTTTAATTGATTTAAATACCCCTTTGATATCATATTAATTAAGTCAATCAATAAAGGCGGCATCCCTACTATCAGTGCAAAACATTTTAACAGCTTTAATGCAATGAGGAATGGTTGGGGAACGAGATCAGTCATCTTACTCGTGTAAGAAAAGTTTGAAGTTATATAGTGCTAATTTTGCTGCTGAAATTAATCAGTTGCCGCACAATCTGTTCTGAATCCGATCCTGAGAGCTGATGGCCAGGTAAAAGGTTAAATCTAGTTCCAACGACATGTCACTCTGAAGGTGGTCGTCTAGTGGAGGATATGTTTGTTTGTGCGAGGCAAAAATTGATTAAGCGCTGTGAAAGACGCCGACCGGCGTTTGTAAAGCGGTGAAAGTACTATGCTGACATCGCAGGAAATATGACTTCTGTTCGTAGGTAAACCTACTCGGGGCACGTATAATAGTTTCTTAAATAAAGGCTGTTCGCGATCAAGTGAGCACTTTTGAAATCAACCTTAGAAAAAAGTCACTCTCAATATCTGCATACATTTTAAAGGGCGTGCATAGAAGTGTAAGAATGATAAGATTAGCAAAACACTTACTTTTCTAGTAATTTCACATTTTCACTCGATCGACACTTGAATAAAGTGATGAGGCCCATGGCAATGTTGATTTTACATAAGGTGGAAGAACACACAACGTGTTTACAAATATATCTTAAGCAGAGCTTTCAAAAGTGCTCATTTTACCATGAACAGCCTATAAAAAATGTTTTTCAAACACTGCGGCATATTTCATGCGCTAGCTAGGTGACCGCCTGATCTCAGCGTCCTTTCAGACTATAGTTCATTCGCGGTTATTTTCCAATTTTTCTGAACCCCTGCTAAAGTTCTACTTTCAGGATATTCCTCTGCCTCATGCAAACAAAGCTTAATTATGTCTAGAAAATTATATCGAAGGGACAGCTCACCGCATTCGTGTTCACTTAGATTAATAATACTTTCCATAAGAACTATATCTTACTAGGTTTTACCAACTTACCTATTTTCTCCCTGTTTTAATTTTATGTTATTTATAAACGAAACATTACAGTTTGTAGATAAAATATAATAAAAAATTCAAATTAACAAGAAAATGATATTTTCATGCTAACAGAAGTATAAAACGCCCTGTGATACATGACATATTTACGAAACAACCAAACACATTATACATAAGGTAGTTTTTCAAAGGTTTGATTCCAAAGGTATGAACAGGCCTCGAATAGACTGTACTCTAGAAGAAAATGCAACGAACTTATGTCGTTCCACCTGATTATATTTTATAAACGTTAAATAAAAGTGTCGATAGATTCCGTTGTATAACAATCTGTCACCTAAACAACCCCTTTTCTCTGTTATATAATCTGTTCTTTGTATATCTTATACCCTCTCGCCAACCATTTCTGCGGTACTTCAGGGAATATAAATTTTATTTTGGGGAACGCTATCGAATTGCGTTTTAGTATATTGGATAGAGCCACTGAACACAGTTTCTCGGTACTATAGTGGTTAGTATCCACCGCCTGTCACGTGGGAGACTGGGGGGTTCGATTCCCCGCCGGGGAGGTGTAATTTTATATTGATCCTTTTACTTCGTTCCATCAGCAGGCATAGGGTGTGAATTCTCAATGGTTTTAGTACAATTTGAGACAAAAGCTAAGTAAGGATAGCCATATGCTGCTCGTGCCACGGCCAGTGTCCTCCGATAAGTGCATGTGCTACGGCAATTCCGAAGAGTTTCAACAACTGCTCAAAGGTAAACGTTGGGAGTGTTTCCTTCATGTTTGGACGTCCTTGTTTATAGACTGTTCACGGTAAAATAAGCACTTTTGAAAGCCCTGCTTAAGATCTATTTGTATACACGTTGTGTAGTCTTAGGCTTTATGTAAAATTGACATTGTCATGGGCCTCATCACTTTATTCATGCATCGGCCCTGTGAAATTGCGAAACTATTATAAAAGTATTTTTTTTTTCGAATCGGCTCATTTTTACACTTTCATGCATTTAAAAAACAGAAAAATTGAAATAAATCATTTAAGTCGTCAAAAATTGTTATCCAACACTTTTCATTCGACATGGTTATGTGGAACTACTTTCCTCTCCATCGTTACGGTGACTTTTTATATGGTAGATTTCTACAGTGCTCACTTTATCGTGAACAGCCTTTAGCTATGTGAGAACACACTGCGCTTGTTTTCGCACATGTTACTCTCTGGACATGCATGGTGCACTAATGGTCAGTATGTATGAAACATTTATGTCTTCAAAAGCGTTCGTAGATCAAATATAAATACAGTTATCTAGACGACCAAAGCAACGAACAACAAAAATAATTAGCCGCTGGCATTCCAGATATACAAACATATATAAACTGAGTTCCAGCATGCGGTAATAAAGTTATATCTGGACATATAATTGCAAAATACGAAAATAGTATTACTTTGAGCAATGGTAATATTTAGCACCTAGAATGTTAGTTCTTTTACTCCAATCAAAAACCTTATTCATTTACATGTTCCTAGTTTCTATTGGATGATTTAATAGTACTGAGTATAACCATGCATTTGGTGGTTTTACACAGCTTATCAGCTCCAAATCGTGATTGCGTCAACCAACACTAAGAAATTTCAATAATGAGTATTTTCTAACATGAGTGCAGCTTCATTACAATAACTATGATTTTAAATAACTGCAAGTATTGTGGAAAGTATTATTTTTTTTAGCTGTGAACATTCCTTTGGAAGAGCTTTGGAATTTCTTTATTCTGGCTCTTGTTAATTATTTATTTATTTTTTAATACATCTAAAAATTAAGTAAATAATTTAACAATATCTTATCAGCTCTCTGAGCACCCATGGGTTTACTCTGTTGTGTCTTACTTCATAACTATGGAAGTTAATATGTTTTCCTCAATTAACTCATTACATTTTTTTGTGCTTAGAGCATTTAGGATTTCCGCTTTACATATATCTGCACAATTCGCACAGAATTTTTTGTAGTTTAAAAAATGGAATACTATACTAAATGGCCGTGTACCAAATGAAATGTGACCTAATAACGCATCTAAATGGGTGCGTAAGTAGATATAAAAGGGGAGTTCTGGACCACCTCACTTTTTCATCGAAAAACCAAGCAATTTACTCCATAATAGAGCAAAATAAAGTCAAAATCAAGCAATTTTCTCAATCTTTGGCAACACCAATTTTCGAATCCCAAAAACAAACAATTTTAATCCAAAATAATGTAAATTCAAACTAAAAACAAGCAAATTTTCAATTTTTTTTATGTCCGAGGAGGATTTTTCATTCCATTTATAAGTCAAAATCAAACAAATTTAAGTCTAAATGATGTTAAATATGAAATAAGACATTTTATAGATTCAAATCAAAAGAATTTATAGATTTTAAGAGAATTATATATCTAGCATAGTTTTTCCATTTTTCAATTCTTCTAAACCTTTATATGCTATAAAAACTTGTTTATCGTTTATTAATTTTAAAGTATTTTTATCAAAAATATTTAAATAGCGATCTGGTATTTTCCATCTAGAATACAATTAATTTTTTTACCGAATTTTTTGATTAAAAAATTCGAATATCTGCAGCAACATACCATTATTTGTTTTGAAGATCTTGTAGTTTAGCTAATTCAAATGAATTGTTTAACTTGCTGAGAAGTGATTCCATTTTGTTTTGTGTTATTTATAAAGAAGCTAATTTAATAAGAAAGATAAAAACTCATTTAGATTTATAATAATAATTTTTTATTCGATAAAACAACTCAGCCATATGTCTAAAATGTGTAAAAGTTTAAAAAGATTATACTACATACATCTAAAAAATTGTATAAAACTATCTTAACATTTGGATTTAAAATCGTTTACATTCTCCATTTATTAATTTTAAAAAAATTATACGTCTTCAGTAATTCTTTTTTCAAATAATCATAGTTAGATTATTTAAGCTAATTAGAATAACATTACAAATTGTGTTTGCTCCAATACTTTATCAAAATCAACACTAATTTTTATATTTATTTTTCTTTAACAACAGTTGTTTTTCTATAATTGTCCTCGACCTTAAAATGAATAGTAATTAATAGCACTTTCAAAGATTAGAGTCGGCTTATAATAAAGTTCATTATTTCTATATAGAATACCTGTATTAATTTTGAATTTCCAAAATCATTCTAAGCAAGAAACGCCTTTTCACAAAAATTATTTCCAATATCTAGATTCCAATTTTATTTTGGGAAAATTTCATTTCTTCCATTTTTTAACATAAATATTTCTTATAGTATAGTGATCAAACATAGATGTGTGCACTTCCTGTCCAGCACGATATTTCTATTAGTTTGAAATCCTACAATTATAAAATCAAGCATACCATATTGTAAATTATTAAACTGATCTTTTAAATCAAAGTTAAAAACAGTTGTCACATCAGAAACTTCTTTTTCTAAAAATTGCTAATAATTAAAACTAATACATATTTTAGGGTGTTTGTGTATTTTTCTTTAGTTTAAATGGCTGTGTTAGTTTCATATTCAACAATAGGCCACATAATTTCTAACATTTAATAACAATTTTACCTGGATTGACATAATCTCTATCAAGTGAACCATCTGCTTTCTTTTTTTGAAAAACAAATAAAAAATTGTTATCACATGAATTACGAATAAAAGTAATTTTATAGCCACCTTTCGAATAAAATTCATTGTTATCTCTAATAAAACCAAACAGATATCTCAATGGATAGATCATTTCATTTGGTTTAGCACTATGAGTAGCCTTTACCCGATATTAATTAACACAACTTAATTCTAAATAATTTGTTCAACTGGAGATCTTAACAAAGTATTCATCATTAGTGTTGATGTTATTCCCGGATTATCAATAGCTTCAATAATATGTCCATGTTTTGAGATTTCTACTCTAGAAAATTGAAAACGAGAAAACTTAGAACAAACATCTATATTATCTAATTTTGCATATTTTGCCTCATTTCCTTCTTTATCTCTTTTTAGTTATCGAAATTGTTCATAAATATAAGCAGTATTTGGAAAAGAAAATTATCACCTATAGGAATTTCAAATTCAATTCCATTGTTGTAAATATTTCAATTCCCACTAGTTTGGTCTGTTGGAGGAAAAGTTTGTCTCTCAAAACTCTCAGTAACTTTGTAACTCATTTATAAGAAAAAAAATTATATTTAAATGAAAGATTAATCAAAGGACGTTTCTCGAGTTAAATTCCTCATTGAAAAATACAGAAATTATAAAAATAATCTTGAAGCAGAATATGGAAAAAAAAAAAAAGAAGAAAAAAGAGCTACCTTTAATTGACGAAGTACGAAATATTGCTAAAAAGTAGAACACGTCAGTGAAGAAAATAAAAAATTTAATTACAACACTAGTTCCTGTTGCAGTAAAAAACTTAGATTATCCAACAACACCAGAAGAATCATCATTTGAAAGAGAATTATTCTCAAAATATCCTATTTTAGAACAAATGGGTATTGTACCGTTAAAAAATTTTCTCTTACTATAAACCTCGGAAAATAAATTGCAAAAAGAATAAATGTTATTGATACTCTATATGGTTTATGAGGAGAGGTGCATAATTTTTACATTGGAGATAGAAAATTAAAGATAGATGATTATAAATTATCTAATTATGGTAATGAATATAAATTAACAGAACGATTATCTAATTTGTTAACAAAAGAAAAAGAAGACGATCTTTGTGATAAATTCACTGATAACAACTATGAAAATTTCACAGAAATTATTTTATCAACCAATGTTGCATTCCAAAAATATAAGGCAAAATAGAAAATAAACTCAAATAAAAGTTAGAAATACATAAATATAGTTAAATCAATTTATTATAACTATATTAAAGAATAACAATCAATTTCAATGCCAATCACACCAGAAATAATGATATTTCCAAGAAATTATAGGTCTGGAGAAGGCATAAAAAATATATTTTATCAGAAGTTTGGATGGGTGGTGTTAGAAAATTGGTAACAAATTGTTTATTATTCACAGTGAAGAAAATGATGGAAGTAACTATTATTACAATGAAAAAGTAATAATAATGAATATGTTGAATAATAAATTTTCTGAATTTGTTATTAATAATCCAAAAGGAATACCATAATTTATAAGAGTTTTAAATGTAATTTTACATTATTTTTGGAATTCTGAACATCATGGTAAAGGTATAATAAATTGGGGTTTAAATATTCTAAATTTACCTGAAATGCATTTGCCTGGTTATAATTATTGTGAAACATTTACAAAATAAAACAAAAGAATAGAAACAGCAGATATTGGTATAAAAAATTTGATGAAGCATGTAAATATCATGATATTGCTTAAAGAGATCATAAAAATTTAGAATCTAGACATGAAGCTGACAAAATTTTACGAAACGAAGCAAAAGGTATTATGTTACATAGAAATACTCCAATTAGTGAAAAAATTGCTTCTGTGGCTGTTGCTTTAACTATGTTTACAAAAAAGAAATTAGGATCAGGTATTAAAATATATTAATTAATAA